CAATAATAGGAAGGAACAAGGGTTTTTGCTGGTTGAGAATAAGGAATAGCATACAGGGAGTTGACTCACATTAATTTCCTGTGCAGGTGTTTACCTTCTAGGTTTAAATTCTTTTGTTGATCTCACTTTTCTCTAGTTCCTGGTCCCTTCTCCTTTTGGTCCTCAAGTTTGCTTTTTAGGTATCTGCTTTAGTTTTCTCTTGCGTTAAGGGCAACAAATGCTAGCTAAATTTTTTAGGTGTCTTACCTATTCCTCAACCCTCCCTTGTGTGCTTACAAAGCTTTTTTTCATGTGCCTCAAAGTCCAAATCCCCTGTTGTGTTTGCCCTTGATCTAATGTCCGCAATATGAAGGAGAAACATACGATTTGGTCCCTTTTTGGGCCAGGCTAAAACTCAAACTCAGAATGATGTTTCTCCAATTCCATACCATTTACCAAGCTAATGATACATTTTGTTTCTTCTTCCCATGGGCTGCATAAAATTCCCAATTGTGGTAATAGATACCACAATTTTTCTTAATCCATTTCGTCAGTGGTGGGGCATCTTGGCCTGTTTCCATAAACTTGGCTATTGTGAATAGTGCTGCATAAACTGGATGTGGTAAGGTGCCTCTGGAGTAACAGTTTTTGGGTAATAGTCCCCAGAGTGTAATTGATGATCAAAATTGGTAGATCAATGTTAGCATTTTTAAGTAGCCTCCAAAATTTTTTTTTCCAGAGTGGTTGTAATGAGTTTACAATGCCCACCAACCAGTGTAAGAGGGTTGTCCTTTTTCCCCAACATCCTCGCCAACACCTGTTTGTTAGTGGTGTTGCTAACGATGGCTTATTCTAACAAGGGTGAGTGAATCTTAGCATGGTTTTAATTTGCATTCCTTTATTCCTCGAGATGGTGAAGCATTTTTTCATGTGTTTTGGCCATTTGAATTTTCTTCTTTTGGAGAAAGTTTCTGTTTAGTCACTGTGCCCATTTCTTTATTGGTTCATTAGTTTTGGGAATTTAGTTTTTTACAGTTCCCTATATCATTTCTGGTTATCAGTCCTTTGTCTGATGTAAAAGCTGGCAAATATGTTTCCTCCCACTCTGTGGGTGTTCCTTCAAGTTTAGAGACCATTTTCTTTTGATGAAGCAGAAGCTTTTTAGCTTTAATGAGGTCCCATTTATCTATGCTTATCTCTTATTGCTGTGCTGCGGGGTTTTCGTTGAGAAGTTCTTAACCTATACCTACTTAACCTGCCCAGAGTATTTCCTACTCTTTCATGTATCAACTGTAGAGTTTGGTGGTCTGGATATTAAATCTTTGATCCATTTTGAAGTTAATGTTGGTATAGTGTGATATACATGATCTAGTTTCAGTTTTTTGCAGACTGCTAACCAGTTTTACCCAGATTTTTGTTGAAGAGGCTGCTATTACTCTATCGTATATTTTTAGCTCCTTGTCAAAGATAAGTTGCTTATAGTTGTGTGGCTTCAACTAGGGTCTGGTCTCTATTCTGGTTCCACTGGTCCTTCATGTCTGTTTTGTGTCAGTACCTATGCTGTTTTTATTGTTATTCTTTGTAATATAGTTTGAAGTCAGGTATCGTGATACCTCCTGCATTGTCTTTTTGACTGGTATTGCCTTGGCTATTCGTGGCCTCTTGTGTTTCCAATATAAATTTCACAGTAGATTTTCAATCTCTTTAATGAAATGTATTGGAATTTTGATGGGAATTGCATTAAACATGTAGATTACTTTTGGAGATATCGACATTTTACTAGTTGATTCTACCAATCATGAGCAGGGGAGATCTCTCCACTTTCTATAGTCTTCCTCAATCTCTTTCTTCAGAAGTGTATATATTTTTCCTTGTAGAGGTCTTTCACATCTTTTGTTAGGTTTACACCTAGGTTTATTTGATTTTTTTTTGAGGCTATTGTAAATGGAATTGTTTTCATACATTCTTTTTCAGTTTGCTCATTGTTATGTATAGAAATGCTAATGATTTTTCTATGTTGATTTTATATCCTGCTACCTTGCTAATAGCTATTGATGAATGTCTAGAAGCTTCTGAGTAGAGTTTTGGGTCTTTAAGGTATAGGACATGTCATCTGCAAATAGGGATATTTGACAGTTTCTTTACCTATTTGTATTCCTTTATTCCTTCTTCTTGCCTAATTGCTCTGGCTAGGAATTCCAGTACTATGTTGAATAGGAGTGGAGATAGGGCATCCTTGTCTGGTTCCTGATTTTAGAGGGAATGGTTTTCAGTTTTCTCCATTAAGTATAATGCTGGCCTGTAAGTTTTGTCATATATAGCTTTTATAATGTTGAGGTACTTTCCTTCTATCCTAGTTTTCTTAGAGCTTTATATGAAATTAATGTTGGATCTTATCAAAGGCTTTTCTGCATCTATTGAGATGATCAAGGGTTTTTGTCTTTGCTTCTGTTAATGTGGTTTATTACCATTTATTGATTTTGTAATGGGAACCACCCCTGCATTCCTGGGATGAAGCTACTGGTCGTGGTGAATAAATCTTTTTGATGTGTTGGGTTGAATTTGTTTGCCATTATTTTGTTGAGATTTTTGCATCAATGTCTTATTAAGGAGATTGGCCTATAGTTCTCCTTTTTGGAGGTTGTCTTTGCCTGGTTTTGGGATAAGTGTAATAACGGCTTCATAAAATGTGTTTGGCAAGTTTTCCTTCCTTTCTATTTTGGAACAGTTTAAGGAGGATTGGTATCAGTTCTTCTTTAAAGGTCTGATAGAATTCAGCAGAGAATCCATCAGGTCCTGGACTTTTTCTTTTTGGGGAGACTCTTGATTGCTGCTTAATTTCAATTTTTGTGTTATAGTCTATCAGCGTGATTAATTTTCTCTTGTTCAGTTTTGGAATGATCACCCTGTTGTTAGGCCCTGCGTGTTTTTATTTTACAGTTCATGTGGGAGGTGGGGTCTTCCGCCTTTCCTGGTGGAAGTTTTCCCTCCACTGTCCACTTTCCACAAGCTTTCCTGCTCTGCTTACGTGGGTGGTGCTTGCTGCTTCCCTTGCCAGCCAACCATGTTTGTTTACAGTTCACGTGGGAAGTGGGTTCCCTCCTCCTTCCTGTGGAGTTTTCCTCCCTCCGCCACTCTCACAGCTTCCCCCACTCCTGGTTTGCTGGGTTCGCGCCCCGCCCCCGCTCCAGCCAGAGGCTCCCTCCGGCCCACCCGGCTTGTTATTTACAGTTATTTACAGTCCCAGGAACGGTTCCTTCCCCCAATCTCACGCGCTCAGGCACCCCACCCTCTTTCCAGCGTGTCTTTATTGAGTTAATTGCTTATTACTCCAGTTTTCTTTTTTCCACGGGTGGAGGTCAGTCTGCCAGGGGCTATGCTGCGTGGCCCAGGCTTGTCTGTGGGGCTACCGTGGTACTGCGAAGCTCACCTGGTCCGCGTCTTCCCAAGCCGTCTGGGCGCCGGCGACTGGTGGCCCGGGGCCCTCCTTGTTTCTCCCGTTAACGTGAAGTGGACAATTCTCTGCACCGGCTGGAAGGTGTGGAGGGGTCAAAGTTATGCCCTTTTTCTCAGTGATTATGCCTGCAAATGTGGTCTCCGGCGTCTCTCCAGATTCACTATAGGAGGCTCGCTTTCTGCTTCCTCCTCTCAGCCGCTATCTGGAATCTCCTCTGCAGTATTTATATAATAATTGTTGTACATTTCTACTTTGGCCTATCAAGAATACCTTAATTAAGTTCAACTTCTACTTGGTCAATGGAATTTATTAATGTGCAAATTGGAGCTACTGAAAGAAGAAAGGAAAAGGAGCATCAGTATTTTTGGGAAATTACCCTAAAGAATGGAAGAGCACTATATAATTCAAGATTTTTATATGTTTGAAATTTTTACAATAACATGCTGGAAAAAACAATCATTTTTGTTTCTGAGTCCTTAGTTGGATTGGTCAGATTTAACTAAAGGACTTGCACTATGTAGGCACGTGAACCACACCTCCCAGCTCCCTTTTTGCTTTAGTTAATTTTTGGGCAGGATCTTCTGCTTTTTTACTTAGGCCTCAAACTATGATCCTCTTGACCTACCCCTCCCAAGTACCTGGAATTACAGGCATGAACCACCATGCCTGGCTAGATTGGTTAGATTTAAAGATAAGAGGGATGATTTTGATCAAATATGTTATATTCATGAGTAGAAGTGTCCATGATGAAATCCCTTCCCATGTATAATTTAATATAAGCAAAAAAATATATAAAAATATGGATATGTAACTGATGCTCAAAAGTCACAGAAATATTCAAATTTTTAAAAATATTTTACTTTATGTGTCTCCAGAAATTATAATTCTAGAAAACCATAATTCATAGAACTTGTTCAAAGGCCAAAATACATGTAAAGTTTTCATAATAGGAAATTTAACAGAGTTGTGGGTGAGGTCTTTTTCCTCCTTAATGCATTGCATATCTTTACAATGAAATTGGGCTCATTAATTTTATTTTTGATGCACTGGATTTCCAAAGAATAATGGTTCTTAAACTTGAGTGTGAGAATTACCCACACAGCTTGTTGAAGTACAGATTACTGCCCCTCTCTCTGAATTTCTGACTCAGTAGGGTAGGGATGGTTTCTAAGAATCTATTCTCACAAGTTCCCAAGAGATGCTGACTGCTGACTATCATCAGGGAATCAGAGATCCAGAACCCTGGCATGGAGATAGGTCACCTTCCATGAGGAAAACCTATAGCCGTCACTTCCTATTTTAAGTAGCAAGTGAAAGTAAGCCAATCCTCTCCATGAAAACTAAGCAGGGAAGTAAGTTTTGTCAAATTCATTAACCTCGCAATGTCTTCCTTTTCCTTTATATGTATTAAAAACTACTAAGAATCCACAAGTTTTCTAAGTGGCACAGAAAAAAGAAAAAAAGAATTGCAAAATAGGCTTTGACACCTCAGCATGAGTCCTTGTATTTTTCCACTTGCATTCAACTTATCCTCACAGAATAAGGATTATTTTGGGGACAAGTTAAAACAAAAGGGACATTTTCTTCTTACGTTCTTTCTTTCCATCCCTTTCATCAGATTTAGGGCCCCTCTTCTGTAGCTGCTTTGTACTAACAGTACTAATCATGCCACACAAATAAGTGACGTATTCATCCACCTAACTTACTGGAATGTAGTCTTTGTAACATTTAAATTTGTATAACTTAGTAGTTAATGAAGGGATCAAATGAAAAGGCAGATGGGTAACTCTACACATTCCCTGTCTTAGTCCAATTTGTGATGTTCTAACAGTGATGTTCTAACAGAGACTGGGTAATTTATAACAAGTTTATTGGCACACCATTCTGGGAAGTTTAAAATCCAAGTGCTGACACATGGCAGGAGCATGCAGCAGGGAGACAGGGGCTGAGCTCACCTTTGGTAATGGCAATGATGCATTCAGTGGGAAGGACCTGAACCCCTCCCACTGGCTCCACCTTCCAACAGTGTTGCAGTGAAGATTGAATTTCACCACGAGATTGGGAGGAGACGAAAATCAAACCATAGCATTCCTCAGGGCACATATATATTTTATATAGATTTGTTGTCGTTTGAAAACTGTTCCCATGCACTTGTGGCAAATTGATGGTTGATGACTGTTCCTCCCACTCTCTCCACCACCACTCCCCACCAAGCTAGCAGAGTCCAGACTTTTTTTTTTTTTTTGGTGGTGGTATTGTGCCTTGTGCTTGTAGGAGGTACTCTAATGCTTGAGCCATACTCCTAGCACATTTTCGCTTTAGTTACTTTTTCAGATAGAGTCTCCTGTTTTTGCCTTGTATGGGCCTCAGACAGAAATCCTCCTAGCTATGCCTCTATCATAGT